TCATCGAGAGTTGCAGTGTTTCCTCTCGGACTGATCGAACTCTGCATAAAGATGCTGTCGTCAGCTTCATCCCGGTACACATCAGCAGCATAATGTCCTGATCGAAAAGATCCATCAGTGTCAGAGCCATCTGAGTTACCGTTGTCATCAGAACTGCAAGTGGAGCCACTGCCTTCAGACGGTCGTGTAGACTCAGTCAAGATGATATAGGCTCCTCTGAAAATGGGAACAACTTCACCCCACTCGTAGGAGTGCAGCCCAGGACCGTTGTCCATCTGGACAATGCAATCGTTCAACCAGACGCATTGATTCATGGGATAAACCTGCCTGAAAATACCATTGACATCCGGATATCCCGCAAAATAGAGCAAGAAAGTGGCCCGAATCTGTTCAGTCTCAGACCGATAGTCCAAAAGAACAGGGTAAATCGTCCCTACTTGGAAGGTAGTCAGAATGAAATGCGGAACTCTCTCTGGTACACTTGTCGGAATGGGCTGCACTGGATAGACAAAGCATTGCCTTCGTCCTACAGTACTTGCCCAAAAGCTCCGAACTTGGGGGCCTGCCGGCAGTTCATGATTGTAGTCATCAAACCGGAACAGTCGACTCATGCGCCCTCTAGCATCAACCGGGTGGAACCAAACCATAATCCTGGTATTTCTGTGGTTCGGAACATTCAATCGAATATGTCGGCCTATAGCATCTTCTATCGGTGGCCCAACTTGCATTAACGAGGACATATCACCATCCCGACCCTCTGGTTCAGTCGCTCGCTCGAGCTGGGAACAACTCACTCTGCCACTCTGAAGGAAAGCTCCATGTCGTACAGTGCAGAAAGCCGTTCTTCCCCGCAGCGTGGCAAATGTCTTAGCATCCGATTGTCCACTGAGTGTTTCACAGAATCTCACAGAATCGGATCTCGTCACCCCACAGGCTTGATATGGGTTGACTACGTCCTGTGACCTGCCATCAAGGCATCCAGATTTGATCAGAACTGCTCGAAAGGAAAACAGCTGTCTTCGCCAAATCAAAAAATGCTTTACTTGATGCTCGAAGAGGAAATCACTACGCGGAGGCTGCGGCCGCACTAAGACAAAGTCACAGGACTGGACACATTTGTCAGCCCACAACAAGTTGAAATCGTCTTGGAACATGTGAAAGTCATTAGCCCTGTATTGCTTTTGGCGTGCTTCATGAACACACAAGGGGTATCCAGCAAACCAAACGATCGCAGTCCAATGACTACTATCAGGTGATGCCGAGGACATAGCATCATCTGAGCTGCGTTCCACCACATTCGTATCTCTGGTTCGAAGGAAGTCTCCACTAGACTGACAGGACACAAGATTGTCTGGGCCTATCTCAAAATGTGGACAAAAGTCATGCACAGCACACGAATCGGTATGGTATCCAATCGGTGCACAGGAAGCCGCAAGATTGTCACGAAGCAGCACAGGTGGCAAGGGGGTCATCCCAACAATGGAATCACCCTGAGACAAAACCGGACAGACCATACTAGCTTCCTGGAGGCCTGAATATGCAGAATGGGAACTGCGGGAGAAGACGTCGTCAACATCAGGCATTTGTTGCGACATACTGAAGGCATTAGAAGTGTTTTCATCAGCCAAACCGAAGCTTGCCCTTCGCGCTGCAGAAGACACACTAACTGCCTCAGCTGCCGAAAGATTGATGAGCAGAAACAATGCCACAATCTTTCTCTTAGTCCAGCTCTTTCGTCGCCTTTGCTCGGTCCTGCGACCAGCTCGAAAGCAACATCTAGCCGGGAACCTTGGGTGGCTTTCCTCACGCACCCGCATGTAGGCACAAACCTCTAGAAAAAGATAGGTGCCGACTACACAGTAGAAATAGCCTTGAAGGATATGCACACCTCCAATGGCCTCTGTGTAGGCCAGATCATCTTCCGCCATTTCCAGAAAACACAACAGTCCAATGCAGCATATCCTAAGAAAAGTTTTGCACAGTCGTCCAGTATTTAAAGGCGGCCAGAAGTATAATCGTCGAATTGGATGCCTCCTCTGGAGGGAAGCTCGTAGATCTTGCAGCAACTCGTCAGCACAAAAAGCACTGGAAGTTGCCACCACCAAAACATTGATGAAGACCAAGCATTGTAAGACCCACGGAAAAGGGTGATTGGTCCTTACAAAAAACCAATCACCAGCCTTGCTGCTGCATCCTTCATCAAAAACACATCCCAAACCACATGATGAGAAATTGAGGCAATCAAGATTTTGCCTCCTAGAAACCTCATCTTCCCCAATATCCATTGGATCTTGGCCACAAAGCGAACCGACTTCAAAAGCTTCGGTAATTCTAATAGGCCCTCCAGTCTCGAAAGAGAAATTCGAAGGATTCACTCCCATTGGAATCCTACCATCATTATAAATCAAATGGGTGCTGACTCCTTCCAAGGCACCACTTGGACATTCAGCAGGAACAGAGCGCAACTCATCATGGAAGGATCTGCTGCCTTCAAAGCCGCCGCACCCTCCTTCCAATAGGTCACTATTCATGACATCCGCTCCATGGCAGGAAGACTCCCACCATCTGGGGTCCGTGCAGCGGGCAGGCGGCTCAAAGCAGAAGGGCTGTAAGGCCCCTCCCCCATCTTCTTGGATTTTGTCAAAGACTTTCCAAATGGCTGCATAACTGGATGTGCTGAGATAGGCAAATGCTCGGAAGGCAGCAGTAACCCAGGGGGAGCCTCCGCTGACTTGTCCATTGGTACCTCCACACATGCCTGAAGCATTCGATTGTGGGTGGCAATAATCATGTTCGAAACAGCCTCCCATGATACATATGCTTCGGGGTCTTGCTGGATCGTCTGAAGAACTGCCATTTGGCATTCCTCCGGATATCGAGCCAATTCCGTCTTGAGCTGCTGGGATTCGAAGTCTTGTGTGATCTTGGGCTGCTTGACAGCCCTTCTCTCGGCTTCGGGAGTGCGAGAACGTTCTCGACATTCTTCTTTGACCTTGGTCATGGCTTTTCCTTCTGCCTTTTCCTCTTGCAGGGCCATCCCAAGTGTCTTCTTCCGAATCTTCACGTCTTGAGTCGGGGAGGTCGCAGGTGGAGGTGTTGTCAAAACTGATCCTTGGAGTGCACTTACCAGTCCCATCATCTGGGCTTGGAGCTGCTCCATCATCTGTGCATTCTTCTGTTCTTGTTGCATGGTATAGGCCATCACAGTCTGCATGTCTGATCGAAGGCCAGTCACCTCTTCTTGCAGCCTTCGATTCTCCTTCCGCAGACCTACTTCGTCTCCCACTTCTTCGTCTTCGGAGTCGACATGGATGGGGTCGACCCCATCTCTCTGTCTCTCCAGGGACTTGATCTCCGCACTGATCTCCGCAAGCTCGTTGGAGTGCCTCTTCTCTTCTTTCCGAATGCCAGACTCGATGGTCTCCTTCCAAGACTGGAAGCTCGTGGACTTCTTTTCCATCGTATCCTTGGCCTTGTCGAGTTTGTTGATCTTCTTGCGCTCCTCGTTGAGCTCTTTTTGCCGGAGGCGGATGCTCTCCCGTGGATCGATGCGCACAAGTTCCTTGACGTCGTCGGGGATGCTGGCTTTCTCCTCGTCCGTGGGTGCAATTTTCCCAAGCATAAACCTTACAGCTTCCTTCAGCCGGCGGTTCTCGGTCTGCATGTTCACCTCCTGCACATTGGATGACGATGACTGCCATGATGCACCAGCAGAGTCTTCGACATCTACCGCTTTGCCATCGTACCCCATAAGAAATACCTGCTTCTTTCCCTTGTTCTTGGCATCTTGCAACTCTTCTTTCTTTCGATTCCCTTTCTTCTGCGGTTTCTCCCAGTCGTACCAGTATGCCTCTTTGTTCCATGACATCGAGCTGGCTATCCAAGGCACTTTGTACACCGGTCTCGAGTGGTGCTGTCGCAGCAAGTGCAGAGATCGCAGAAACCTTGCCCTTATCCCTGCTCGAGCAGGTTTGCAAAACTGGTGCTTTCGCACAAGTATTCTTGCCGCTTGCCGTCTTTTACGTGCTGCCCTGTGCCACCGTGGAGAGGTTATGGCTTAGGGCGCTGTCAGTCGTGCGGTTTCGCACTGGGGCCTGAAAAATTCCGGTCCGTAGACCAGCTAGTCTCGAGCCCTCGGACGATGGCAAAGGAAACAAAAACATTTAAACCCAGATTCCAAGGATGTCATTGAACTATGCCATCCATGAAGCCCCTCCACCTGGACTCATTCTTTTGATATATATATATATACCGATCCTCAACAGGTCCCCGTTGCGACTAGCAGATGGACCTGCTTGACGCAGGTCCACCGGACCAGCAACGGCGTTCCAGCGATCTGGCGCCAGATCTTTCTTCGTTCACCACGAAGCGTTCATAACCTGGTGTGAACGGACCTCATTCCCGCACAGGCACCAGTGTTACATTACTCAAAGAACTTGATAGAACCACCCCTAGGCTGGGATCATGTTTGGGGTTGTGAACTGAACCATGTCCCATGGATCTTGCTTCATTGGCCCTCACAGGGCATTCATACACGTAACTGAACAAAAGAATGGGCGAAGCACACGAGGATGTCAGATCAACTCTCAATATCAGCATGCAAATCAGATTGCACCTTAACCCGCTATTCATATATTATGTGTTAAATGTTAACCTGTTAGAATCACTCAAAGGAATTGTAATGATACAAGTGCCACTTATATATTATATGCGTCTTCATGCTCTAAGGTTTCGATGCTTCACAATAACCCAAAGCAAAACCCATAAGAACAATCGAGAGTGGAAAAACAACGCACACCAAAACAACAAACAACACATACTTAATATCCGCCGACCCCTGCAGATGGGGGAGCGCGCCAGAGAATCACCGTGCCTGCCGTTAGAAAGCAACGTTTGGATAAACTAACCAACAAAAAGAAACACATCGTTCCCATCATGAACGATTTTTCACTCCGAACGGGTAGACCGTTCCTGTTCTCTCCGACCGTAGCGCTACGAACCTCGCGGTAGAGGTTGAATTCGAAGAGCAAGCCTCGCAGGCCGCCGGTAAAGCACGGCAGCGGGGACGGCGGATGATTTTGGCGGAGGTGTAATGGGGTTGTCATGCATCGAATGAAATCGGCTAAAGTGTCAAGGTCGACAGTTAGTTTGATGTGAAGTCCAAAAGGAATCATCTCTATGGCTAAAGCAAAAGGTCGCCCAGCTTGTTTCCGCCGAGGCCTTGAGCAAGTCTAAGAGAGGTGCGCCAACCTTTAATGTGGGCTCTTGATTCATAACCTCCCCCATTGGAATTGAAAAACCTATATATCTTGGGGGGTTATCAATCAAGAGTCTACAGCGGTTGGGATGTAGCATGGTAGTCAATGCTCATGCTCCACCTACACGTTCACAGCACATGTTCGATGCATGCGCTTCGGTGGGAGCTGCGTTCCTTAACCACACGCCCAAGAGGTCGCTTTGAGATCCGACGCCGGTACCAACAGAGGTGGGTCAGAACCCGACTCGACTCTCCGAGTTGGGTTTCGGTGACGGGTCCGAATTTAGGTCACTGAAGCTCTGCGACGAAGCGAAATGGACGCAGGCTCCACGTAACTTGGTAGCTCAAACGCATCTTTCAGCCGTGGCTCGCAGTGACTTCCTCAGAAACCGCGAGATCAGTGTTGCTCTCAGTGCTCCCAAATCAAGATCAGTCTTCAACATTCAAGACCAGCTCCAAGCAAGCAACTCCGTCTGGCACAATGCCTTCAGAACCAAGCCAACGCATGAGGATCATCTGCATAACCATCATCTGCTCATCCGCATGGGTGTGCATGGGTCCAAGCAGTCCATACTGCTTCTCAGGACATGATCACCCAAAGTGTGAAGGTAAAACATCAAGTCCATCGAACAGCTGCCCGACGAACAGGGCTCAGTATACTCCTACCAGTTCCCGAACGAAAGTTACTAAGCCCAGCCCAGGATGGGAAGTTCTCAAGGGCAATTCGTACGAAACCTGGCCGAACCTTGTGTATTCAAGGTACTGTTCAAATGCCAATCCGCACGGATTGCGGCCCTGCACCAGAATGGATCAGTGTTGTTTGTTGAATCAACAACGCTCGGTGTCTGCCACTGCGGCAGAAAACATCGGAATGCAACACCTTGTGCTACACTGATAGAGGCTGTAGTCATGTTCTTGGGAGTAGTAAGAGGTGATCCATCCGACATCAATCGCGGACCCATGCAATCATGACAGTAAGGACAATTACGGGGGAGCTCTTCAGGAGGCAACTACACTTTGCATTGACACCAGCTGTTGCGTTTCATCGTCGTCCTCGCAAAACACGGGGGCAACGAGCGGCAAATCTCTCGTATAAGACTGCAAAACGGCTAGCGTACTGCACACATAGCCACAAGCCCCGGTTGTGTGTCTCACAACTTCTTCAGCAACAAATCAGGGTCCACATCTCCTCCGTAAGGCAAGCATCCAAGGCACTCAAACCTTGTTTTCTGGGTGCATTCTCGATGCAGAGATGTGCGGTGGACAACTCAAAGCAGGATTTGTGAACAATTGGTTTCCTCTTGCAGTTGCCCAACCGCTTCCAGCGGCATGCCTGCAAGAAGAACATCCTCACAACCAGCACCACCCAAAGGGTGGCTAATTGTGATCCCCCTTGATTTACCATCCAACAACCCTTTGGGTGCTTGGATGTTCCCCTCAACTCATCCCCAAGCGCATGGCCCGCAGAACATGCGACGTTGGCCCCGGAACGTTCCCCTTTTCGTCGCCGTGTCGAGTCCCGGAACCGTGTCGAGTCCCGGTGTCCCATGCGGTGTCCCCAGTGTTCAACCGGAACGACTTGGTCTGGGTGTGTTTTCCCATGCTGAAGTATCCATTTTCCGACAGAAGAACCCGCCAACTCCGCTCCACACCCGGCGCACCTGGCGCTGCGGAGTGGAGCCAAAGCCACTTAAAGCTTGTGAACCCGAGCGACACGTTCCGACGTTCCATTCAAATCCGGTCACTAATCTCATGCACCAAAACGACACTTTCCATGTGTTTGACAGGGATCCCGGATCTCACGTTCTTCAGTCTAAAGCAAAATATTTTGTTTCCCAAAAAACACGAAGATCTAAGATCTGCTGCAACGGAAGAATCTGGGCCTTGACTGACGCCACTCCACTTCCTCTCTCCGCATAGCTGACCGCGCCTAAGACCTGGAGGAAGAGCCACAGTCTCATCACCTCGACCGAGAAAAAACAGCAAACAGCAGTCCGTTGGGAGGGTTCGCATGGTGTCGGACGCTGGTCCAGGCGAAAATGGAAAACACTTCGGTGGAGTTGTTTTCGGGTCAAAATACCTGGTTTGCCCTCAATTGGATTCAGAGCATCGAGCGCATCCAAGCATCCATGATCTTACTATAGCATCCGGGTCCAGTGGTCCAGCGGTCCTGCGTACGCTGGTGGTCCATTTGAGCCTGGACTTAGACTCCTTCCATGACAAGTTTCTGTCTGGATCAAACAGTGCTTTCCTTGGTGAGAAAATCAGGTCCCAATACTAACCACTATCATCCCAGTGGGTCGTATTCTACGTCTCCCAAAACGACCAACAGCAGCGCCGGCCGTACCTGGGGGCTAATCTCCTGAACCGTGAAGCCAGTGGCCATCCAATCCTCCTCGCGGCAGGTCCAAGGTAGTTTTTGTTCTTTTTCTTTTCGCGTCGTCGGTAGACCGAAATCCATGGAACAAGAAGAGTCTGGGATTCTCAGGCAAGTCGAACTTCTAGGCTGAGCTGATTCTGAGGCTATTGAGTGGATAGAAGTCTACCTCCTGGTTTGGCTACACACACATCCAACAGTTCTCTCTGGATGGTGGCAAAGCAAAAACACCAGCAGAATCATGAACCCTCCTCACAGGGGTGGCACTGGCTAGCGACAGAAAAGCACTAGAAGATGCTCAGTGAGCAACAGAGGGGCATTGTTTAAGTTCCATCTGGGATGAATTCTGGAAATTCGAATGAATGAACAGCCCCAAACCTGTTTTGCCGAATCTATTGCCTTCAGATTGTGTAAAATTAGATTATATAGATACCCACCTCATCCTCATGCGCAACTAAGGCCAAGTGTTAAAACAACACTAACATTATATAAAGTAAAAGCTAAACACATCTTCAATCGCAACAAACAGGTGTCATGATGTATTCTCCTCACGCTTTCAACACAAACAACCGCAAAAACACTGCCAGCAAACACACCCTCTTTAACACACACACCAAAGCCTATATGCCAACAACAAATCACTTCTGGCCGAGCGCCATCTCCCATCTACCCCGGGCGCCATCACTTCGTCGCTCGTCGCCGTCTCCTCATCTTTGGTACCTCCATAGCTCGCTCGGGGCTTTGAAGGCCTGGTTTTGGGCGCTCGGCTCGGAACAAACCCGGCGGTCACGGTGAAAGGTGACAGTGGCCCATGGTTTTTGGGAGAAATGACTGGACCCTGCATGCTCCAAGCCTACGTGCAAAAAAGAGGTCCTGTTGGAAGATATCTTAGATATGCTCAAAGTCCTGTCAAACACACTTAGATGTTTCTCCAAACTGGCATTCAAACCATCTCCTGAGGTGTGGGTCGTTACCAAGCAGCCCAGTCAGCCATGGTAGTTTGACATACCTGGCATTACCTGGTCATCCATCCTAAACATCGTGTCAATGTGGCCACCACCCAATAATGGTCCCCATCTCCCACATGTTCTTGTTCCGATCTCCAAAACACTGGTTCTTCACTCAGATCTCCAAAAAACGATTGAATGGGTTGAAGCTAATGTGTGTAAAAATATATTATATGTGGGCAATCCTCAAAAATCACCCTTCAACTCACTCTTCAGTGGATGTTCTCATGGACAATTTCACCATGTTTGAACAACTGTCTGGGCCATCCACTTCCATGTTACACCTGTTGTGATGTCTTCATGTGGACCGGGTCGGCCGGGTCGACCTCCTTTCGCGCCCTGGACGTGGACGTCCGCCTCAAGGGCTTGGCTTCGCTCACCTGGGACAACTCCTGCCGCCGCGGATGGTGCACGACTGGCCCCAGAGATCAAAGAAACAGCTCTGATCACTGAAAGATTCTTTCATTCAAAGCGGCTAAACAGTATATAAACACTCACATCATGGTGTAGTTAAACCGTGTTTCAATCCGGATCTCATCGGTGTTGCAACCTGATCCCACCCGTGTTTTTCGTCGTCGCTAGATATTCATGGTCCTTTGATTGGAATTACAACACAAAGTTTGGAATTGTCCATTGATACTTGTATATAATCTTGTATATAATTGTCCATTGATCAGGCTAGGACTTTGATTGGACTCAATCTGCAATGCGCCGACTGCACATCCGCACCATGGACATGGAGCTGGGTGGTGCTGGATGGATGAGGTGTTTCTGGTACGTGTGCTTGATGGTGTGTTTCCAATGAAACAATATGAAAAAACAAAACATGTCCAAAGAGCAGGTCCAACAAAATACATTCCAGACTTGAACCTGATTAGAACTTATGGAGCGAACTTTGATGTCTCTCCCATCCCGTAGCAATGCAACTAATGTTCAACAAACATGCAAGACTACTGTATAACTGTGAGTTGTCTGCATGTGTCCATTGTCTGTCTTCCCTTTGCAACAGAAGTGACTTCCCACGTCCAGACGTTGTTTTTCCCCGCTGCCCTGTATCACCAGGCCTCTTCTTCGATCATAGCCGCAAGAAGCGCATGAAAAGCACAGCATGGCCGCGGCTGGCCACGTGTTCGTGCCCTACACAGGGCTCATCACGGCAGTGAAACCGCATGTTTTGATGGAAGCCTTGGTACCGACTGGAAGAAGTGGTGAAAACAATTGCCACAAAGGAACAAGTGTTCTGATCACCAACCTGGGTGGATGGAATGCGGATGAAAACACCGGTGGAGACCGATGGACAGCGCAGTGGAGACCGGTGGGTTTCTTCGTAGGCAATTTGTTCGCCGTTGGGCACTCTGAAAGAGTGATGTGATTTGATGCAGTTTGTGTGTGTGTGTGTGTTAGCACCGCCAATGGCCAAAAATAAACTCCCCAAAAATCAGGGAGTTGAACCTTTTTGGGAACTCCCAAATCAACATCATTCAAAGTTCGTCAAACAAGGCTGCCAAAGTTCATCAAGAGGGCCTGGCAACTGGTACGCAACATGTGGGGCACTGCAAACGCAAACAAAAACAATTCAAGCAGCTGCAATGCAAGTCGTGTGAAACAAGATTGAACGTCACAGGGGGTCGATTTCAACATATTTCAACGGTCCATAAATAGCACCAACAGAATTGGAAGGTCATCCGGTCTGTATCTTCTCTGGCTAACGTGGTGTTTGTGGTGCTCGTTTGCTTGGAAGGTTCTACTGACCTTCCAAGACTTCACATAATCTTGGCGCTTTTCTCAGCTGGAGCCAGCAGCCAAACAACGCACGCCTGCCGGCTCTGCAACTACCAGACTCGCCTGAAGGGGTCACCCATGGACTACCCCAGAACCACGTGTGACTTCCGTTGGACACCTAGATTGTTCGGCTCCAGCCTTTGGGGAATTAGATGTCGTGACCATTCTTAAGCTTCATGCCTTAATAGCAAAACCATGGGTCCCAACTCAAAGCTTGGCCCGGTCCCCGAAAAAATTATGTGCCTAGGCTGAAAAAAAGTGTTCATCGCTTCCAAAAATGACAACGCACACACACACACTCTGTTGAAAAGGGCGCACTTGATATGAAAACCCACGCTGCGCAGCCCCGCCACAAATAAACAAACCATGCCACACGCAGTTGCACGCCGTTGCGAGTCTTTCCCATCTTTCCCACATGTTTTCCCTTGAGCTCGCATTGGCGTTCTCTGAGCTGCAGGACCAAGTCGTGACCTCCGCAACGAGCAGCGCCGACGCGCGAGCACGGCGTGTGGTTGTGCGGTTCACTCCGCAGTGCGCTGCACGAGCAGCGCGGTGGCGCCCGTGGCGGGGATAGGGGGACAACGAGAGTAACGAGTTCCAGGAATGGAACACATGCTGTATTGTACCAGTGGATCCTTCAACAGGTCACTTGGTGATGAGCAGTCTGAATCCTAGCGTTGCACGGAGGCATTACCAAAGCAAGACCTTCAAACAAAGCACGTGTAACAATGTAGCGCATTTGTGGCTGAGGCGATATGTGTGTTTTCATGCAGTAGAAAAAACACTCAAAACATCTCAAAACATATATTTAGGAATATTTAGGTACTGTATGTGTGTTTGCATCTTGGGTCAGTTTTGAGAAACAGCTATATAATATCTGCTCATTCATGGTTTTCCACCTGGAAATAGCGGGCGCCCTAAGATCTCGGAGGCAGCTTCTACGAAGCTCCTAGGTTTGTTCAAATCGGAAAACCTCCATTGCAAGAATCGTCCACCACGGCGCGAGTCGGACTCGTTGCCAATTCGTGCAAGTCTGGACATATACACAATTGTCGCTTGGCCTTATGCCAAGCTGTTTCGAAGAGCAGTTGCTTTCGTCAACAAAACTGATGAATTAGCTTGAAAGCTGTACATAGGCTGTGTCCTACAACTGTAACTATACATCCTCAGAAGGTATTCAATTTGTACTTCCCGAGCTATGATCCTTCTTGCCTTCAGGAGCTGCATGTGCTATTGGTTTTGGCAGCAAAGTTGGCAAATGCCCTTGGGCATCATCCTCTGCAAGGAGGCTACTATTCAGGATCCTTGGACATAGGGCAGCCTTGTCTGGTGTACCAAATGTTTGCAAAAAACATTTTGATGATGATTCAACAGTTCACTACAGGGAAGCAACCAGTTCCTGGTTGGCAAATGTTTCTTCATCCGACGCGTATCACTCTCCCTCTCCACGTGTGACCCATCCTATTGGTGCGGCATGTGTTGGCTCAACAGGTTCGAACCAAATTCCATGAAGCAATCTGAAGCAGGAAAGTTCTGCGGGACAAGTCCATCTTTCCTACCCATCAAATACACTAGAGTCCGGTATTAGAGGCTATTTTGTTCATATTCTACCATCTACATGCTGAGCAGCAAGAACCACAACAAAAACCTGGCAGTTGGCCAAAGGATCGTGAGCAAACGGCCAAAGTCCACTTCGAAGTTCTTGTGGGTGACCAGCAAGCAATCCTTGGTCGCTCGCCCCAAAAGGGAAGTCAACCTCACTTCACCACGGTGGTGTGTCACACGGCCTGAAAGGATGGAGTTTGATCAAAAGGAATCAGCATCTTCAGAGGTGCAAAAACACTCCGAACACCGTTTGTCGCACCAAATGATCAGGCAAAAACACCTCGACCTTATGCTTTGAGGCTCTCGAATGGATCTTCTCACAAAGGAGTTCGTGGCATGAAAACCGCCAGGCATGTGTTCCACCAAACTGCGGATCATTGCCTCATCCTTCGCATCGCTGGCCTTCGCGTCTTTCAAATCAAGGCTGGCTAAGCCTGAGTGGGTCCCGTGGGTCATGGCATGTCATGGCTCTCCCCACCAAACCATGAGAGCTTGGTTGACATCCCGAACAAACAAGGAATCTGTTCATTTTTGGTGGTCAACCAGGGTGTCACGGTTTTCACCCACAGCCAGTTGAATGTGCTGAAAACCAGCCTGTCAGTGTTTGAGTTCTTCTGTTCGGTCTATAGTCAAAGGTCATTTGGCTTCTTTCTTCTTTTTCCTGGGGGCGCAAAAAGGTGGATTGAACCGACCAAAAAGCTCTATAAATCATATGAGTTCAGGGCCATAGCAGCTGTTTCACCTTTCGGGGTGCCAACCACCAACGGCGCGATGCACAGAAGGCCCGAGCACCGATTCCGTCCAACGCCCACCCCAACCGGTGACGACGCACTCCGGTCCGTCCGTTGCGACCGGAGATCGAGTGGAACACGGCGAGACCCGCGTTCCAAAGCGGATGGATCTTCGATGTGTCGAACGAAAGAACGGAGCCACGCCGCGTCGATCCAGAAGGGTGCCAGGGGGAGATACAGAAGTTGTCCCAAACCACCCTCCAATAGGTGCTTCAGCGGACTCTCGACCCTCTTGGACTCTTGGTGCACCAATAGGTTCTGCCTCCTAATTGGTCACAGAAACAATTGGCCACCTTCATGGCAATCTCGATGCCACCCTGACCATTTCGTAGGACTCCACCTCGCGAACGCTGAACGACGCCATGCCCCTCGTCGTGGATGGGTCCGGACCGAATGGAAGGAACGCATGGAACGAGCAGCTTTTACAGTCATCCCTTTTCAACCACTCCGATATACATGTGTCTGGCATACAGGGCTGGATGCCAATGGAAAGGGTGTGTTTTTCGTGGCAACAAAAACTCGCAAACTACCAAGACTTCAGTTTCCCGACGGGGGAGGGGCAATAGAGGTTCAAAGACGAGTTAGGGGTGCGGGGTGACTGAGTGTTCAATGGAAACCCAAAGAACTAGCAAATGCAAGCACGGTAGTTGCTACAAACAATGTTGTTTCTCTGCCAATCAACACCTGGGAAACTGCAATCAGCAACACAGCAAGAAATTGCCCGATGGCTCGAACAAAAACGCTGCAAGTAAACGTTAACGTTCATGTTCACTGCTTGCTGTGTGCCAAGCAGCTGGAGGTGCAAAGGAGAAGTCCTTGAAAAGAACTTCCACGATCAGCGGAGCGTAGCTGAGTTTGAAGAATTTCAAACAAACACCAGGCCCTCCGCAGCGGCTGCGCTTGCTCATCCAATACCATCACCTGAGGCTGTGGCACTCGTATAGCTTAGATTAGCTTAGTATATTTGTTGATCAAAAAGTCCGAGTGAGTTACAAGAGTGGCCGCAGCTGAGGGTGCCACCTCATCAATAGTCTGTTTCTGGCTGGTGCTGTGTGGTGTGAGTCCCCTGTGGGGAACGCAAAAACCAGTACCGTTTGTAAGATCAAAGAGCGTCCTCGGCTATTAGGGGTACGTGCTGTGAGGGGGCAGCAATTGCTGACAGTGGAAAGCGTCGGGAGGAGCACAGTAGAGTCTCGCTGCAAAGGTGCACAAGGTGAGTTACGATGGCAAGCCTGCCATGAGTGCAGCAATGAAAGCTTGCGGGAATCGTGTGGTTGTCTTGGTAAAAGAACAACCCGGGCAGGATGGACAATTATTGTCAGTTTTCTAGCGTAGAGATGTTCAATGATTACAGGGAAAGAATAAGGAAGAAAAACACCTCACATTTAAAGTGCGAGATAAAAAACACATCCTCGCAAACGAGCCTTCTGAAATTCGATCTCGCAAAAAAGAACCAAGCGAGTGCCATCCGAAACGGGGGTTTCCCAAACACGACCGAACTTTGGTGTTATGTGAGAGTGTACAGTGCCAAACTACCAAAAACTCTTCAATGCGACACATGCATGTGACACATTGGTCCTTCTCAATCCTATCTTCACCCATGTCACCAAACTTTACAACCAACTGATCAGTTGTTTGCCCAATGTTTCCAAGTGTTTGCATCATGTCCTGCTTTTGTTTTAGGTGCCACGGTCTCCACAAATTCTGCCAAGTGGCAGTGCCCTGGCAAGTGTCACTGCGAAGCGACTTGTAAAAGGACGATTCCTGCCAAAGGCCATGGCCAAGTTCCGCCTCCACCTGAGCACTCTTCGACAAAAGATCAGTCATGTTTGATGAAACACTGCAGCACTAAAGCGAACTACAGTGACGTCATTGTGAACTAGTCTTTTGCTCAAAAACAGTATATATACTTAACATGGCATGTCTATCTATGTCTACCGAATCAGGGACCCAAAACATCGGGCGCCGCTCTCTCGTTCGTCGTCCTGGTCCCGTGGGTCCCCCGTCGCGCCCTGGGAAGGCGTGGCACCTGCCATTGATTGTTGCTGAAGGTGCAAACCCAATAGGCTGTACTCTGCCACTCTACTGCTCCATCGGACTTGGCGTGATGACGGACAGCAGCAACGAACTCCTGGAAAGGAGTACCTCGTCTCGAAAGAGGGAGGTCACGTGACGTGGTTGCAAGTAACAGGGCTCATGTTGAAGTCTTCATGCTTGCCTTGGATCCCTTGTATCGCTGATTTCTGGTCATTCAATTCCACTTTGCCAAACAAATAAATGCGCTTCCACTGGCCGGGTATTTAGTGAGGTGACGAGATCAAACCGCACTCCTTCGCTAAGATACCCCAGTAGTGGCTCACAAACCAATGCACCCGCTTGGGACCAACAAGCTCTGCATAGGAGAGCTTGCAATCCTCCGTGAGTGGCGTGACCAGGTTGGAGCAAATATAATACATAGAGCGATCTTTGATGAAGGACAGAAAGAACTCACACAGCCATCCAAGTTGTCCTTGCAGATCAGAATGTGACATCTGACACATAACAAATTGGAACAACTAACTAATATCTTATTGAACTCAAACATTTACAGCATCTCCTCAGTGAATTCCAAGCAGTCTGTCCAAACACTCCTAACCCAGCCGGTTTATCCGTTTTACAAATCACACCCGCATGTTTCGACTTCAGCATCAAGCATCCAATGGTCACCGCTCTTTCTGGTCCACTGGGGCAACGCGAAAGCACCGTGCCGCGCAACTTCACCAGTTCCTCTCGAAAGCGACGCCGCCTTGAGACCAAAGGAGTCCTGAAAGCACGGCACAGAAGCTCGGAGGCCGAGGCAAAACGACCGGTTTTTCCTTCCTTCGCGGCGTGAGACGACGCGGAAGTGAACCCGGTTTTTCCGTCCCGGGAACCGCAAATCCCGCTGAAGCGGAACCTGGGGACGACGTGTGACTTTGCTTTTGATGGAAAGGACGGGACGGTGCCCTTTCGTCCTTCCGGGAGTCCTTCCGGGTCGACCGGAACCGCTGTGACAAAGGGGGCGCCACACCGATGGAGTTGCCGTTCTGAAAAAGGGGGGGCCCGAAAACGTCCATCGTATGAGTATACTCGGTTTCATAGATTCAGGAAGCAACCGAACGACGTGTTCCCCATGGTGTTTGATGCACTTTGTGGAAAGGGAAAGGGAAAGTCTGCCTTTCTCGTTCCTTCCTTCTTGGTGAAGGGTAGGGATAGCTTGTCTGAACATTAGAAACAAAATAATGACACTTGTCTCCACTTTGAGGCAGGCAAAACACCAAGTCCATGAAAATCAGTTGTGAAATGCCACAACATGCAAAAGCCAAAAGAAAACATCTACTGTAAATCTTTGACTTTTGAGGTTCTACATTGTATGGCATGGTATCAAAGTGTATATATATATATATCAGTATCATGGATCATCATGCATGTGTCTCCTGCTGCCCATCCAATAGAAAAGGAGGTACAAAGCCAAACTGCTCAGAACCGCCACCGCAATCACGACAAGCAGCATGTGCAAAAGCAGCTGACGTGCCAGGAGAACCACCGCAGCCAGGAGCAGAATCAGCCAAAGGACCGAGGGAATTCGTAAGAACCCTGTGCGAAGTAAAGCTGCAGGAATATGAACGTGCAAGTATCCAATGCTGGTGTCCCATGTGCCCACACTCTCCTCGGATTTCGTTGACGTCAAAGTAATATACTATCCATCAATCTCTGGAAAAAAGTCTCTTGGTCTTTGACCACCGACCTCTTCTTCTAGCTACTGGACACAGCCAATGCCCTGTCCCGACATGACACCAAGCCACCGGATGGATCAACTTCAGGTCTCGTCCCGAGAGCGCTTGAGCTCGAAAGGAACCTCGCGTTTGAAGACACTCGAGGGGCGGGCTGCCCGTGTTTCTCAGCGTGATCGAAGCCTCACTGCTCCAATGTAAGATCCGATGTGGACGGCTCGTGGTCACCACCAGACCATCTCCCTGGATGGATTGAAGACACACGCGCGCCCAACAAAGACAACTGGTTTGTTGGAAGTGCAAGCATCATTGACTAGTGAAACAGCATATGAATCAACCGCAATATCCCAACTTCACACATTTCTCCACCTTGAAAGCGAATCGTCCCCATGGATGACCCAAATGCCATGAATATTACTCAGCAAGAACCACTTAGTTTTGCCAAAGCCTGCAAGCTGAGATCTTCAATGTGGAGCTGGTAAAAGCACAGCCATAATGCAAGAAGCAACGTCACGGTGAGGCATAAACACGTGGCGACGGCGAAAAAGAGGTTCAACATGCTTGCTTGACAAGTCAATCTCTGGGTGTCTGCATAGGCCACGAGGAAGAAACCAACACATGGCTCGCATTCAGAACGACCTGAAGTTGAGATTGTATTGCTGGGACAGTTGCGGCAAAATCGCCCTTCATGGGCATAAGTGCCAGCCAAGCAGGGCTCACATGTAGGACTTGCACCTTCTGCCACCCAACCATTTGGACACCAAGTGCAGTTGCTGGCACCGATGGTAGAATAGGTGCCGGGTGGACACTGGCCACACATATTGCTGCCAGCTGCTGCATAGCTTCCTGCATGACAAACAAGGCATTCGCTGTTTCCCACCGTCGCTGAAAAGTGGCCAGCCGCACAGCTTTCACATGTGGCACGACCAATTCCAGCTGCGCTTCCGGGCAGACATGGAGAACATGGAGCCCCATCCACTGACGAAGAGCCTGGAGACTCGAGCGACTTACCAGGAAAATGGGGGCCAAGGTTGTAAACACTTCATGTTGCAAAACACAAATTGTCTGTTCCACAAGCTGCTGCAAATTCCAACTGCCTGCTGCACATGCTTGGCAGTGAGCTGAAGCTACTTCAGCTGTCCGAACTTCCTCGAAGCCATCGGGGCACCGCCCAGAGGCGCAGTTCACCTTGCCTGTGACGTCCATACCGCCGAAGGTCTCCTCGTTACCTCAGCAAATCTGCCCTGAGAAACCACAGATTAACATCAACACAATCATAAGAAAACAAATCCAAGGGCTGGGATATGCCAGGATCCAAAAGATCTTTTCATTTGTTCAAACCTTTGGGATTCAATTAGACAATGATATGACGAGATATGTTCTGATATTCTTGCCAGTAGTTTCTAACTCAGTGGATGTGTCCTCGCATTCCACACTGAACATCACCGAAACATGCCGCTCAAAGCTGCAAAGACAAGAACCATCTCCTCTGGCCAATAGCCGCGTTGAGTTCGAGATGTTCAGCTGGTGCCTGGCAAAGCGATCATCGCGACAAATGCCGCGCCCCGAACCTCAGCGGCCGAGAAGAAGGGCGGATGGCACAAAGCCCCCAGAGGGGGCCTTACATACATTATAACTACAATCATTAGGACTCAAAACTTTTTCCTCAGAAAGGTATGACGGTATGACTGGACCCTCCTGGCACCCACCCCAAACACCTTCTCAGAAGGTGCTTGGAGCCCTAGGGAATAATACACATATATTTGTACAGTATGCTTATATACATTATATATCATATAAATCAATAAATATATATGTTGTTTCGTTTTTTTAATGTGGAGGAAGGGCCGTAGGGGTAGCTATAATTCATTAGCCACTGCTTGCTTGGTCTTGGTCTCCTCTCAGTTCTCAGGGTGAAAAACCTCAAAAGGAGGCGCGGGTGAGTTCGGTGATTTTGAGGATAGCCTAAAGAGTTGGGTATAAAACTCCTTTCATCACCAATCATAAACCCGTTTCCTCCTATATAAGCAGTTGCAGAGTATATATACATTGGGCAAGTTCCATGCTTGGCACAGGGTGTTCACCCCGTCCTCAACTAATTGATGAGGGCTCTAGACAGGTGGTAACTGGGCAAACAGCAAACGAACATGTGGGAAACCCAAACGACCCGTTGGCGATTGTGGGGCTGCAAACAGAAGCATCCACGGGTGAAGGCTGACAATTAGATTATCCATGAGGTCTTTGGGTGCTCTGAAGTGTTTGGATGATGGAAGAGGATGGGCTCGGGGTGTATCTACTCTGCTGAAAAATACATGGAAACAACCACCAACATACACATAGTTTATTATGTATTATATTGGTCCAAATTCTCCGTAAAAGCCCGAGACACATGTCTCTCCACGATCATCTGCAGCACAAGCTTGGCAACCATCTCCGTCCGAAGCAAACCCTACTTGACATCCTGAGCAATCATCCAGGTCATGTCCACGGATGCACTGGCAGATCCCCTGGAGGTTTCGGCATTGCCCTTTCCTGGAATTTTGTGAAATACAAAAGGCAAGGAAAAGGGAGAGACAATATTGGATTGAACCACTATGTCATATGGGTGGTTTCTTATAATTCAACAGTCATAAAATCAACAGTCATAAAAAGGCTGAACCCAAAAGGAATCCAAACAACTCTCGTTCCATCTATATCTTCCTCTCAGGCACCCATTGCATTGTTGCGAAGGCAGGCAAAAGCCTTGGCTCCAAAACTTGGCTCGCCGCTGTGGCGACACTGGTGTGCCCAACAAGCTGAGGTGTCCGTTGCCCTCCATCCACAGGTCGAAGGAGTAGATCTGGGGTCGACCTCTCAACAGAGCACCAAGAACTGGAGACGGAAACTTTGAGCTCGCAGCTGTTTGACACTTGTATATAAACTCGCGTTAGTTTAAACACTGTGTTGTACCACTAAACACGACCTTTGGGGTAACTCCTTGGTTTCGACCCATCGTCTAATCCGACTCCGACCTTGCTCCCACTCGAGGCACTTGAAGCGACTGCTGCAGTTGAAGGAGTCACCCTTCCGCTCGCACGCCTCGAGTCTCTGGCTGCGGTTCAAGCGGATGAGGTCCAGGTCGCCATCCCCATCGCAGTCCACCAAACGCCACTGGAGATCAGTTGCTGTGGTTGGTGGTAAGGTTCGAAAGGGATTCTCTTCCCGTGACAACTCCTGCAGGAAGATGATTGGAAAAACACATAGGCATCCAATTGCAGAACTATGCCAAAGGACAAAAACAGGTGGATCAATCCCCCCTCACCGACAGGAATAAATCCCAGTACACCCACACGGCAAGAAAAAGCTGATTTATATCTTTTTACTCCAAAAGAATGTTATACCATCTATAAATCATCTTAAAGTCTCAATCTCTCTACATTGAACCATGGCTGATGGACGATAAAAAAGAAAGGCACCCGCACCAGGTTCACCAGGTTCGCCTCAGGCGACGCTGTGTCGAAAGAAGTGGCGCCGTCTCTCCTCCAATGCGTCGTGGCGCGTCCGGCGAAAGACGCGCCCCTCGGGCGCCAGGATCAGATCGGTCAAAGCATCACCGTCCCAATCGAGAGCGATCGGTTGGGAAGAGACACCTTTCAATTCAGGCCTTAGAAGTGGGGCTTCTGTCGACATGGCGCCAACAAAAAAGGCTTGCAGGAAAATACATGGAGTACTCTTACTTTTGAAGAGCTCAAGACAGGCCCATCTCCAAAGTTGACCAAGATTTGGTATAGGGACCCACCAAGTATTCTTGGAATTGAATAGAAACATGATTTGTGGGTCTTGCTTGATCTCTCCCGCAAATGCCGTTGCTTCCTTATAAGCAAAAGGTGTTCATGAGTCCAATGCCAAAGTGGAAACGTATGGAAAAGTCGTACAGAAAGACATCCCTTGGATACGTTTTCGCACCCCCCCTGAGCCGGGCCCCCCCCCCCCGTGTACCCAAGTGGCAGGTATGTGACGGCATTGTCTTCATCGGTGAATCTCACCTCCATGCCCGGGACATGGGATAAGGCTGAATCCGTCCACGTCAGGTGGCCCTCTTGGTTCTGGTAGAAACTGATGTTGCTCCCAGAAATCAGGATCAAATCCAAATCTCCATCTTGATCCCAATCAGCCAGACTGATCCGATATTTGCCACCTGAGCAGCCACTTCGAAAGCCTTCAACTTATCACTACTGACGACTCACTGATTCACGGGGATGGGATGATCCTTAAGTCCTTCACCCCCTTCACCCGATCGCCGAACGCGTGATTCCGTCCGCCTGGCTCAGGTGTCCAAACATCTTTGTTGTAGGGCTCTGGATCGATGTGATCAAATACACCAAAGGTTTCCTTCAAACTGCCATCGTCTTGTCCCTGAAAGTAGCGAATGGCTGGTGCATTGCGATGCGCGTAGCAAGCTTGGCCTCTTCGAAGACTGAATGCAACCAAATCCCAAGCGTCCACGCCATTGCAATGGGCACGAGAAAGGATCAAGTCCATCAGTCCATCTTGATTCCAATCAACGAGGTGTACTTCGTCTCCAAGCATGTCAAGATCAACAAAAGGATGGGTCGGATTTTCTGAGACCGTGTGCTCCACCAGGACCTCTCAGGTCTGACAAAGGAGTCTGAAACATCTCAGAAGTCTCTTTCGTATGAGAAAAACTTGCAAAACAACATCAAAACCAAGGAGATAAGATGAGATAAGATATGTTTTGAACACCCATCTGAACCATTCTAAACCCATGCCTCTTTTTAATGGAGATATATGAATTTTGAGTGTGATCCATCCCACCTCGTCCCTGACATGCGCAAGTTCATAGACATAGTTGCAGTCACTAAAGGAGCCCATCTGCCAAAGATCCAACGAACCATCCCCGTTCAAATCGGCGAGGTGATTTCTGGTGAGCCCGATGTATCCTCGGGGCGATAGCTCCAGCGGTTCGATGGACAAGTTGGGTAAAACAACAAGTTGAAAAACAAAAACAATAGCCGCAAAAGGGGAAAACAACGGAAACTGACCAATCCGCTGTTTACCAGGCATCTGCTTTCAATCGAGGACAAACCGTGGAACGGATTCTCACGTGGTTCTCGAAAGCTGCCATCTGAGAGTTGCTCAAGGTAGATGAAAGCATAGCCCTGGCCATCTCCAACCAAACGCTCAACCAGAAGATCTAAATCACCATCATTGTCCCAATCTTCTACTGCCCAAAGTTGACCATTCTCAACGATCTGCAATGGGTTTGCTGCACCTGACTTCTGCTGCCGGTGACGTTGGTAGAATATCTGATCCGCCGGTCGGTTCATTGAAGACTTAGAATTGAAGGGTTTGCTTTGTGAATATGGGTGTTTGAATTTGACTTCCACTTTTTTACGCTTCGTCTGTGCCAACCAATGGAGTACAGTGTCACGCCCTATGAGATTCACCTCATGCCATATGTAATATATAGTTTGCAGCCTTTTTCAGCTATAAGCAGATAGGGTTTCAACTATCTTCTGAGAAGGCTTTTGGGATGTGTTTGGTTTGAGGTAATTGGGAGCCCTGTTTGAATAGGTTCTCTTCTTGCACCTTGTCTCTCCTCCACTTGGACGTCAGAGATTCGCTCGAAATACTTATGGTCCACGATGAGGTCCAAGTCGCCATCCAAATCAAAATCGATGGCTTTGACAAACTTACAGGATGAAATGTTTCTTGCGATCTCTCCACTCGAAAGGAGCCCGTCCTCCCCATTCATCATGAACAGAACCTCACAATGTCCCAAATATTTTGGAAGAATACATTGCAGTACAGCCTCTAAGGGACCTGTTCTAGCTGCTCAATGTGCCATTGAATATAATTGAATATACTAGTACAGTAACGAGGGAGAAACAAAAACAAAACACTAGAGTAAAACAGCTTGAGTTTTCTTGAAAAGGAACTGCATGCTCAGAACAAATGAGCAAATCATTGAAGCCATCCTTGTTCCAATCAGCCACCGTAAAGCCATCAATCTGGGCCGTCCAATTCATCAAGCTTACCTTCTTGGAGAAGATGGGACGACGCGAGTCGCGAGGGTGACGTGTGTCGCGAGGTCGTCCAGCATGTTGCTGGAACCAAACGATCTCATGCCGCCTTGGTTTGGCCACGATCGCATGTGCGCGATAAGCGGATGAAGAGTAGATGGAACAGTCCAAAGGTGGTTGCAAAAATGGACCCCATAGGGGTCCAGTCCCATCTATAGTCTATACTCTGAAAGCACGTTAAAAGAGAGTGCCGAAGATGGTAGCAGGGTGCGAGTGTTGTGGCAATGCTGGTGCAAAATCCTGGCCATAAACCAACCGTTTACCTACAGTGAATGGACCAATTCAATAAAGTTCGATAAACATATCTAGAGTCTAGAGTTTGGAGAGGGTAGATTCAGATGGAGCAAATATTCCAACCCTGTCTAGACGCTTCCGACCCGACCTGCAAGAGCGGCTTTTGAGGTTCCCAGGCTGCGACGCGATCTGGCAAGTCGGTCCCCTGCCAGTCTAAATGCATCACACTTCTGCACACAAAAAAACCTGCCCCCAAGTATCCCTAGGGATCCAAGTACCTTCTCAGAAGGTACTTGGACCCTCCAAACCTACATAAGAGTGTCTCCAATCACCTGAGAAGGTACTTGGATCCCTAGGGTAGCAATGTTTACCTAGAGAAACCAAGAGGGGACCGGGCGAACAAACAACATCGAACACAACCCCAACACAATGAGTGTGTCAAGCTACGGCCCAACATCGAATTTGGGGTGGTGGGGGCTCAAGAGTCCTTTCTGCATGGTTTGAATAACATTGAATAACTTATCAATCGACTGTCTCGAAGCCTGGCAAAAACATTGGAGGCTTTTCGCCAAAAAGTTGGTGGTGCAGTGGAAAAAACACATCTGTATACTATAAAGCCAATAGATTCGAAAAACAAAGACGAAAAAGGTTGTTGTGGAATGCTACTGGATGATTGTGGAAACTCTGTAGACACACCCATTTGCGGCCAGGTAGGTCCGAGTGTCATTCCATGCCCTCTCGCCTCAAGAACATCGATGTAGCCATCTGTGTCCCAATCAGCGAAATCCACTAGGCCACTGAAGTCACCAAAGCCAAAATCCTCAGGGGGCAGGAGGGAGCACCAGGCCCAGTGGGGGTCGATCGAATACATGTCCCACATCCCTGTCATGAAATTAAGCGGCACAAATGTCCACCAAAAGGCAGGCACTTCCGGTCGTCTCTTGCAATCTACTCTGAGCAAAAATCCGTTCGTCATCGTTCGTCTTTCAACTGAATATCTGATTCCCACCAATCCTTGGGCTGGTGCCAAGGACAGCCCTGGCTACTTGGTGATTTCCATCGGTCAAACAACAAATGCCTCTGGCCCTTGCATGAATCATTTTCTCGTAACTGGCACCATGTGTTCAGGGCCAATGCGGACGGGCACCAGAAACACCACAGCCAACATATCCTCTGCATGGGTCGCCCAGAAGCGCGATAGATGGGCGATAGATGGATGCTCACGGACGAGGCACACAAACGGGTGACATCATGTCAAATCCAAGGGGTTGACGAACGTTCGAAGAGCGAAGCCAGCGAGACATCGGCTGCCGAGAACATGGACAATCAAAGGAAATAAGAAGCGAGAATCCTGCATGAAAACCTTCAAACACAACAATGAACGTATTGAGCTAAGATCCTGGAAAAGGTGGGTAAAAGCGGCGTCCAAAACACATCGTCTTCGGCTCTTCAAAGCTGTCCGAATGGGCCGGTGACTTGTGCAGTTGCGAACAAAAAAAACATGTCTATTGAGTCCCCCTCCCCGAAGACTTCGAGCTGACCTTTGACATGCATTTCCTGCATGGTCAACTTTCATAAGCCAAAAAGAAAAACCGTTTGGGTGGAGAAGGCAAATGATTTGGCCAACTTGTGGACCAGTCCCTTCCCCTCCACTTCGCTCTTTCCGTTAGCGCCCAAGGCGCCCAACGCCCAACGCCAAACGCTACGCAGCCTTCTCCGTGGGTCAAAGTGAGGATGCGCTCGGCACCTGACGGTCTCATCCCTGATCTCCGGTTCGGGTTTCGTTCACGAGAACTGCTGTAGAACGGCAATCACGTGTTGCGTTCTGAACACGTAGCTTCACCCACCAGCAAAATGAACACGCAGTGCGTTGAGGAAAAAAACACTAAAACATGTTCAGAGCCATACTGTAATAGAGCCCATTGAATGGACTCCATTTGGAAACTCAAAGATGCATCCAACATAACCCAAGCGTCTTCTGCAATCTCAAAAACACTGGTTATAAAAGAGGGCGCGTCAAAAACAAAAACATTGTTTTTTTCCCACCTGCTGGTTCCGAATCATTCAACAGCCATTTGACGGCCATTGCACTATCAGTGCATCTGAGTACCCTTGTGACGGCAATCTATATATATATATATTAGTAGTTTGTAGCTCCATCTACATCATCAACGTGGAGATCGAAGCATATGTTCGGATGTTGTAGTGGCAGCATTCCAACACACACAGGTCAATGCGATCTCACAGCAAACATGCATAGCTGAATCATACGTAACCATGTCTAGACATGCTGGAAATGACACACGCAAGTTGAACCGACCGGGTCAAAACCTTGATGCCATGCGAAAGGCAGCAAACTTCTGTTCTGTCTGTGCATAACGAAACAGAGACAAGGTACGAGTAGACGCTAAATGGTGCTAAAGGGTCAAGCTGCTCACAGCCAACGCCATGCAGCGGCAGCTAGAAAAGTTGTGCCATTGTGCCCTTTCATTTAGCAGGTGAGGCGTTTCAGTGTTCTTGTCTGGGACCTGCGCCTCATGTGTGCAATAGCTTCTTGCATAGCCATGCTATATGCTCGGACCTATCGACATTGTCACATATTGTCACTGGTTTTGGGTGGTTTTGAAGCCTTTGAACCCTCCCAAAGGTTCGTCATGTCCCTGGATCCGTCCAGATCCGCGTTTCGGTCGGGGTGCTCTGCTCCACGCCTTCATAGCAACTCCGTGCTTCGTCGAGTTGTCCCAACTGTTCCTGGCGACGTGCCGACGCGCGGCCGCGTTGGACCAGACCAGGCAAGACACCAAGTTCTTCGGATTCATCACATGACCATTCATCTAAACATCCCCGTTTTCGTTCGTAGCGTCCGAACGCTCCGTTCGTAAGGCCAGGTCTTCCCGAACGTAGCATTGATGTGAGAAATTGTGAGAAGATATCTTTACAGGTTTTAAACGTACGGGTGGTCCAGGAATCCCTCAAATGGAATGTGGAATTGTTTAAAGAAACATATAATGCCGGATCCTAATTAGTGAAGTGGGAGGGAATATTGAAATGTATTTTTCACCCAGGGTGTCTTGATTTTGAGGTTTCTACTACTACTACTACTACTACTACTACTACTACTCCTACTCCTACTCCTACTCCTACTCCTACTCCTACTCCTACTCCTACTCCTGCTACTACGACGTTACTACTACTAATGGTTTTTGTGACGGGGATTCTAATTATTCATACTCCCTCGATTGTTTGCTAGGGGGGACCGGTTTATTTAAGACCCGTAATCCATGTCAAATATGATCTGTCGTTTCTACGGCGGTTTAGCATCCTCTGCCTGTCCTGGTCATTTCCGGGATCCCATGCGGGTCTGTGGGATTGTCGCCGGGTCTCTCGCCGGTGAAACGGTGGACGGTCCAAAGACGATGCAACCCGGGTGGCTCGGGGTGCCCTAGGTGAGGGAAGAAGGACGAAAAAAACAAATCAAAACAATCACACACAAATCAATCCCACGAACAAGAGGTTTAGTGTGGTTGAGTTTGGAGGGACTATAGATAGTTTTTCAATCTCGAGCCCTATGAACATATAAACTAAGAGCCTCCACAGCCTCCACTTGTCCCTCACGGCGGTGATCTATGCTTCAGAACCACCATCCGTGTGATTGCAATCCGGACAAATCTCATGCACAACACCCACCTTGAGCTCTGCCAAGGTGAACATTTGCAAACCTCAGCTTCACAAGTCTCGCCAATCTTTGGGTAACAAAATCTGTATAATTAATGTTCGATCCAGCTGTAAGGCGCGTCCAACTGGCTACTGACATGTACTTGGCAGCTAGGAATCATGATTTGTACAAACCTGAGTACAAATATATAGTACTTGCAGCAGGGGGCGTGTCAAGCTAAACTATCAACCTATCAACTATCAACCCACTTTTTCACCATTGATTGATGATTGACAACTGGAAGCATCTGCAGACGGGTCCCCACTTCACAAAACAGTCTTCCAAAAAAGCACGGGTACCTCTTTAGACTTCCGTTCCTCGTTCGTCCGTTGCTTGCCTCTAAGCCGCCACTGCCCCGCCCTCCATCGGTCGAGACCGCTGCCACATCGGTCTACCACTCCCTGCCTGTGATGGGATGCCAGGCTGGATACACCGCTTGGTACCTCCGCTTGGAGCTCGGTCAATCGAACGAAAACACACACCAACATGATAAGACCGGTTAATTCACCACAGGTGAACAACTTCACTATAGACACAGGAGGTTGCGGGTCCCAAGGACTGGTTGAGACGGTTGGTGGGACACATCATCCAAGGGGCGGAGACTCTCCGCCTCTGTACGACGGAAGCGGATGGATCGACCTCACCTGTGAGGTTAACATGTACTGCAAAACATGGGTATGAAACACTGACATGGTATGAAACCAAAATGGCCTCTTACTGTAGCCCCCCATTCAAGAAGGGCATACTGCGAGTACTGGCATACGCCCCAGATTCGAAACGGAAGCAAGACCACAAATTTGCAGAGCGCCGAGTGTGGCAAAAAGATGCAAAAAGCTACTCCATTGTTTTTGGTAAACCAGAACAGGCAGTCTCCCAGCAAAACATATACAAATCCTCTTGAACACAAAGCAAACAGGAACAAACAGGGCTCGTCCGAATGGACCGCGGAAACGGTCTGCTGGACAACTCTTCTAGAAACTTCTGGACAACTTCTAGAAACCTTCAAGCCCACCCTTCTTGCGGGTGAGTCTATAACGGTCTATAACTGACTCGCTTAAGATGGAAACAGCCCGAAAGGGTACAGAAAAGGGCTTCCTTTACAAGGGTTGTGAGCTTCAGATAGCTTCAGACTACCACAAGCAATGAAAGCAAATGAATTGCTTTAGGGTGGGACAGGACACTTGACTATGAGTGTTTTTGCTCAGCTTGCTCTTTCAAGTCATATGTTTTTGTTCATGAACTCAACAAAAACGTCGCCTGGAACTCTCGGAACCTTCTCCTGCCCCGCTCGACCTGAGCTCCGCGAAGGACCTGCCCCGCTGGTTGACGTCGCGTGGCGCTCACTGCTCGACCAGCTTGGCACAATGCCGCTCAGCTGCAGCCTGAGTCACGCAACGGCCACGGTGCCACGTGCCACCACCGACCCAGGGGCCGCTGCACCGCTGCGCCACGGGACTCTCGGGGATCGGACCTGACCTCGTGTGGGCCACCTGACCTGGTGGGGTGTCGTTTCGAGTTGGGCAAGAAAAGAAGACCTGACTTTTGTGGTGCAAAGAGGATTCAGTGGTGTACCATGTCATGACTCATGTACGCCAAAAAATGTGCCATGCAATGCTGAATGTCGGACTTTGATCTCTTTAATGAAACAACTGGTGGTTGTGGGGGCTGCTTGGATCAACAGCCGGTTCCGGGATATCCACAAGCATGTCCGCCCAAAAAACGGGCATGCCCGCCACCAGCTTGGACTATCCGACTGGAGATTGATTTTCCCCGTTGCACTTTGGTTCATTTGGTCAGTCTTGAGAGCCAAGTTGAGAGCTCCATCCTGACGCAGCTCCAACCACCCGACTTCATGGAGCGCTCGGGCCAAAGAGGTCTGAACCGGACAGTCAGTGCAGCAGGACTGAGCTGGCTCTATCCGCTCGATTCGCCGTGTGTCAAATCAAGAACTTCCGAACTCAAAGCAGCTTCGACCGAGGTGTAGAAGTGATTTTCTGGTTTTATATAGAAATATTATCTGTTTTAAATAGTCTAATGCATATATAGTCTTATAGTATAGAAGCCCTCAAATCCCTCTCCTTTTCATCCGATCCACTCCTCCAGTGCCACCCAGGTGCCCAATCAAAGGCCGCCATCGCTGCTGTGTGGGCAGCGGCCTAACGCTGCCAAGCGAGAACTGGATAGAACTGGTTGTTTCTGCTGGGGTGCCCCTGTCTCATCCACTCACTAGATGGAACTACAAAGCACCCAACTCCATGTGACTTCTGGGCCATTAAGCTTCCAAACATCTTCAAGTTCGCGCTCTTCTCCAAGAAATACCGACAAATGCGAACGAGCCGTGTGTGCCGCGTCGCGCGGCGTCTGAGGCGAATCGATCCGGTCTGGAGTCCGAGGATGGCACGCTTTGTCGGGGTCGATGAGGATGGCATGGCAACGAGACAAATTCTCTGATCAAAGTTCATTGTCCTATCCGCACCAATGCTTCTTTAAAAGACGGATAAAGAAAGAAAACAAACACCATCAAGTGAATGGGAGTGAGTCCTGGGAAACTGCGTGTTTCCCCTTGCCAACAAAAAGGTGGCTCAGCACACAAAAAAGCACATCAGAGTGCCACATGATCCGTGTTCCGACAAAAAAGAAAAGCCCGTGTTCCGAGGGGTCGACAGGTCGACAAATGTGGACAGATGTTGATGGCAGGGACTTGGAGGATGCAGGATGAGGTGGATGAATTGTCAACGAAAGCTCTGGAGGCTTTAGACCTTCCAACATACCTGCGATGATGGCTTGGAGAAGAACAACTCTGAACCGACTGGCACAGTATGGGTTCAGTTTTTGTTCTTCAGAAGCTGAGAATCAACATCTTGGGATGTAGACCGTGCAAATGAGTGACCGTGACTACAGAGCCTACATCTCTTCGGGCCTACCTAAGAAAATGTCAGCCTTCCTTGAGGCAACATGCAACAAGTGATTCCGACCCGAGACATCCCAATTTACTCACCTGTGGAAGTGCAAAGAACTACCTTTTAGCCCACCAAACAAGAACCTGATCACCCACCCCACCCCGCCCCGACCCTCGCCCCGACCTCGACAAACATCGCCCCGCAAAAAACCTACAGGACGGACTGAGACGCCGCACATGAGCGGCGCAGACCTGGGGGGAGACGTCGCTGAGTTCGCCGCTCACGGACTGAGTTCGCACGCGGCGGACGGAAGGGGAGACTCCACACGTTCGAAATGAACACTTTCTTTCTTAGGTGGCAAATTGTGGTTAAAAAAACACCTGCGGCCTGCGCAAACAAACAACACCCTTCTTGGAGTCTAAAACGTTGCAACTCACGGGTGGCATCAAGGAGTGTGTTGTAGAAGTTCGTAGAACAATTGTTTTCCACAGCTCAAGTTGAAAGCACCAGGAACGTGACAGCGCTGCTGTAAAAACATGATTTAAAACAAACAAACTGAACATGCAGTAACTATCCAGAATGACAGCTATGACTCTATGACTGTAAGACTCGCACCAAATGTAACATCGCCCTACAGCCACACAGTTTGAGACGCAAGAGTTGATTCTCGCCAAGTTTCATCAAACATATCCAAAATATTATACATGAATAGCTTCAATCACAATTTCATCCAGAACTTGCCATCTGACATGCCGTCTTCTCATCCATCTGTGCTTCGCTCCGTCCGATCGAGCGACGCGGCCTTTTCGCCCCCGTTGCCCACCCGGCCGATCGGGCACCACCTCCAAGTGCCGTGGGTGGAGCCAGGCTTCGCGGAGTTGACACCTCGAGCGGAGGCCGCGCCATCAGCGGCGCGAGGATGGCGCGAGTAGCGGTGGGTTTTGGGGGATGGAGCTGCGGAGCTTCTGAAGTTTCAGCGAGCCACATGGGTCAGAAGATGTTTTCTTTGGGGGGGGGGACGAACAAAGTTAATGAATCCCAGAGTTATAAGTTATAACATACTTAACACTGTAACACACATTTTTACTTGCATATTGAAAACACACAACGCACAACACACAACGCCCGCTCTGGAGCCCCCCCGCCTTATTCCACCAACGTCAACGAGGACGTACGTAGACGACTCATTGCATCGGATTTCGGCCCCGAAGGTCGCGTGGGCTTTGTTTGACGCGTCATCCACTGGGAGTCGTGATGGTCTTTCGTCAGTGGATGGCATTATGATTCTTGCAAGAAGAATAGATGACACATGATGACACAAGCTCACCCCAAAAATCTACCTTGCCCTTTTTGTGGCCTGCTATGGATTCTCAAGAGGTGGTCTATCTTAACTTCGGTCCAAGTGGGTATGTCATCTACTCGGCTACAAGTCTCTGATCTTCCTATATATAAACAGCTACTTGTAGCTTGCAAAACCCTGCTGAGGTTCGTTTTTCCTACTCATCTGGGGGTCTAGGGATGTCTAGGGGATGCTGGACTCGCCGCCCATGCGACCCGTGCAAGGATAGAATCCGCAACAGGACCGAGAAAAGTTGGGGTGGTTCTTGGATACCCCTTTGAATGACAATTCCTGAACAAGGCAACGCACATCAACAGCGCAAGCGAGGTCATCTTCATGCTGGACAATCAGCTCATCAGCCAACGTGCTATAGTTGGCAACGACCCGTTTTGTTGTGCAATCACAAGTGCGCCCAGGTGTCTATCTAAGTGCCTGTGTCTCTCTCACCCCTGTTGTGGAACCCGTTTCCTGCCACGCTAGCCAGTCAAGGCACACTTCCTGGCACGGGAGGATGTTCGACTCGAGCGAAGCTCACGGACCGGACACGAACAGCTCTCTGAACCTCCGAAGTGGGGGGGGTGGAGAAGGACAAGTAGGTCACCACTCCATGCTGTCAGGGACCGCTCCAGCAGGTTGGCGTCTTCCGCCAAATCTGGCACCTGAAACCAAATAGTGTTCATGATTCCAACCACCTGAAGCATTCCCCCCCAAAACCTTCTTACCAAAGTTCTGTAGATCCCTATGTCATATCCTGGGGGTTTTTCTATGTCGAATTTCTGCCAACTAAAAACCGAACCGCAAAAAAAGCTTCTGCGCTCCACCGGATCAGGAAAGGCACCAGTGGAGGTGCTCGAGCGGAGCAGAATTCGCCCTTGCCCTTGACGTGGTGCCGTAGACGGCGTAGGCTGCCTTTTTTCACAAGTCTGTGGTAAACTATATGGTTCCATATCTGTATCTTCCTGGGACGTAGGAATTCGAGCTACACACGTAGGCATTGTTCACTGAATCTCTGTTGACTGTTGACCACGTAGCTGAGCTGAATGAGTGATGGCATGGCATGGGAGAGTCGACTTGGTCCGTTCATCACACGACGGGAGAGCCGATGTTTGGAAGGTCTCCAACTGGAGAGGCTCTTTTATAAAATCATATCTGTACCACTCGATGGGAAAACCTCACAATTGGTTTCTCTTAAATCCCAAATCTCTCCAACCCAAAACCTCCAATCAGCCTCGAATTAGAACCTCACTGACGCACAACACATGTTTATAAATGCAACATGTGTGCGGCCAAGACTTTCCTGTGAAAGCTAGGATCGTCTTTGGAAGCACTTTTGGTGGGTTCAAAGGGCGGACAAGCAAAGTAATGATGAAGTAATGGGAAGAGCAGCTGGCCAGGGACTTCCCAGCCAGAAGCGACCAAAACAGAATGTCTTCAGTATTCCTGAGCTGGAATCATTCCCTCAACCACCAGCCCCGGAAGCCCCACCCCGGTGGTCTCGTCTCGCACCTCAAGAAGCTGCAGCTCTACCACAGGATCCTCGTTTCGGCGCCGATTTCGGCTGAAACGGACAAAGAGGTGTTCCAGCACCACTGAAAGGGTGGTTCTTGGATGGAACATACATAAGTCAGGGGGTGGTTGATCAACCATGTTTCAGAACTTCTGGCGGTTTCAGGGGTTGGTCTGAAATGGATCAATTGATTCCAACGGATTCTTCAAGATCCCACCCATCCGCCTCACGGTGTGTCGATCGGACCGGACCAAAGGGGCGGTCCGAGCGCCATACCGAGGCACGCGGCGGCTGTGGTTTCAGAGTAGGCACTGGCACCCCAAGATGTCTTAGACTGATGGGAATCCATATAAACCACCGACATTGGGGATTGTGCCATCTACTCTCAATCCACTGTACCTGGATCTTCCAACGATGTAAGATGTGTGCCTTTTGATCTATACAACCAGCCCTGCCAAGGCAGACATGTTGCATAGTTGGAAGATCCAGGTATACCGTATACCCCATGTGACGAATAAAGAAAAGGCATGGCATAGATCACTATAAATCATTCCCTGCACTGGTGGATCCACTCGATGTTCTTTGACAAGGACAGAACAAACACGACCACTTTAGAACTCTTGGCTCAGACGTTTCCCAGTGCTGGTGAACATAGGGAGTTGCCAAATGCGGGTCTCTTTGCGAACTGCTGGACCAACCAACAGCTGTCCCGGTTGTATCGTGCGCATGCACATGAGGTTCGGTTTGTGGCATGCCGACCTGAAATACTTGGTTGCAACAAGTTGCAACAAACTATAAAGGAAAACTTGCTACAAATAGTTACAAAAACACACCAAAAAAAGAATTACAAATCCAAAAAGAAGGTACATGATCCATCCGGCGTCCCCGTAGAGTTCCGCGTAGAGCCCCATTTTCGGTTCACTCACTTGGGACCATGGCGGGGCCAAGGCAAAGCTCAAATTCGGTGGGCACAGACCCCCCAAATCAACCCATGGACTCCAACCAGCCATGGTCACCTTCCCAATGGAGGTATGGGACAGGAGCCCTATAGGGCCTATTGGGGTCATATAGTAAGTTATAATAAGTGATTAACATGTTCCATTGCAAGTCTGCCCATCTCCTCTTCTGCGGCTGCCTGACACATCGAGGGAGCCAGTCCACCATGGAAAGTGCCCATAGATATCGTCGGGATTTGTCATCTTTTCTTCGGGTTGGCATCTTACTGTCTTGTGACTCCAAAATGACTATATAAAACGAAAAAGTCACGCTTAAGGTGAAACAAATCAACAAACTATCATTCACCTAACATGCTGCTTGATTATAGTCACTAAATGTTCCTTCCACGTTCGCGATTCTCCTCAACGAATGTCGCCTGAAGCCTCAGCTGCTCCGCTCTCCGCAGCGCCGCGTCCGCCACGTCGGCGCGTGGCGAGGCGGCCACCGGGCAGGCGCAGCCGCCCGCGAGCTGGGCGAGACGGCGACACGGTGAAGGGGATGGTTGGGGGGCTCTGGTGAAGAAGTTTGGTTTGATTGGGAGGGTTGGAGGGGAGTGCAAATGACTTGCTTGGGCAGTGAAAATCTTGGGAGGTTTTTGGTGGTCGGCCTTTTAGGAAGGGCAAATGGAGTACCATCACGTTCCATCTGCTTCTTGGTGGGCGAAACGCACGTGAAGAACGACCACCGTGTTTGGGTTCTGCTATTGCCGTCTCGTTGTTTGTAGGCTTTCCATATAATAAGTCATATATGAGATCATATTCCAGGCTTGCAGCCCCTCTTATTGCAGAACTCATAAAGTCTTGAAACTTTATACATCTACAAGGACGAGTCACGTTCAGCAGTGTGGGGTGCCATGAAGAAAAGCCGGTGAAACCATAAACCCCACTGGCTGCAGCATAGGAGCAGCTACAACAGCTGCACCTTAGTATGATAATATTTGTTTTCGTCCACTCTATCTTACCGATATCAAACAAATGCGGGACACATGACAGATAGTGCGTCGATCGAGGGTGGGAATGGAATCTCCCAAACAGCCACGTTTCTGAATTCCAATGGAGCCATGATTTTGAGCTGTGGCTCAAGGGGGGGTGCAGAGACAGCCAGGCGAAGGGCCCTCAGAGTGACACTCCTCTGGTCGCGATGTTCTTGGGCTTCCTGACTAAGGCTCCCTGGCCTCAAAGGCGGAATCGATCCGCCGGCATCGGGCTGTCACCCCAGAAAAGTGACTGGAAAACCAACGTGCTTGGCCATTGGGAAGTGCATGGGAGATTCCGACACCCAAACAAAGGAAAACCACCGCCATACACAGCCCAACTGCAAAAACTGTGCTTCGAAATGAGCACTGATGTTTGAACACCGATGCTTGAAATGTGATTTTCCTTCTGCCTGCATGTACGTTAACCCAACCCAGGACGAATCTTGTTCATCTTCACGCCTCAAATGACTGACAGTGCAAATACAGCTCGGGACTCAAACACCTTCAAGTACGACTCAACTCCAAATCGTGATCGAAACAGCTCAACACGAATCCCCACCAAGCCAAATCAGTCACTTGGGGACTAGGGACCAGCTTGGTGAATTCCATCCATCCCAAGAAAAGAGAATCCAACACATTCCAACACCAACAGAAATGCCATGACATGCTCCACATCTTAAATCCCAGAACTCTCCTATGATCTAATCCGATTTCTCTCTTCTTCTCCTTCGTTCTTCACCCGAAACGCGTCCGGCCGACCGTACCTTGGGCGTCGCAGCATGAAAGCCGCTCGATCTCCGGGAGATCGCCTGGAGCGACCGAGGTACGACCGCTTCTTCTCCAGCGGCGCGGGACGTTGGACGTTTTGAGCCAGGTCGGGTGAGGTCCACTGGATGTGAAACTGGCTCGGAGTGTTGGAGTGATCTATATAGCCACTCCTTGGTCCATTTCGTCCCATCGCACCGCACCGTGCGGCGGAACCTGCTGAGTCCTTTCCCGAGTCCGAGTCCGTTTCGTTCATGGAACGCACGGCAGCCGTCGCCGACCAGACTCGGGGGGGACAGATTGGCGACAGATCGCAGGCGACAGATCAACGTGTCTGAAAGTGGCGACCGCTCTTGACTACATTGGTCCACGCAGGACTTTACAGGTTGCTCCATGTTACTCCTATGACAGCTGGCCGCACGGCAGCTGTCATATGGATTCTTCTTTACTCGAAGAATATGCCAGTTGATAGCACTGAAGGTAAACCAATTTAAACATGTCCAATTGATTAACGCTGATGACTGATAAGGCACCACACCATCACAACTTCACAACATATCAAAGTTCAACATTCCAAAACCAATTAGCTGTCGTAAACGAAAATACCTGTTCTCTGTCTAGCTTGGGCCCTGCATGGCCAAGCAATGTCCGTTTCACGGTGTTTGCCGCGCACGGACCTTGACGAATTGGTCGACGGACGTTCATACAAACGCCGGTCATTCGGTATGGATGTGACAGCCCGCCACCCATTGCACCCGCAGAATTCGATAATCCAGGCGTCCCAAAAACCAGCCAAACCCAAGGAGGCCTGCGAAAACGGCCATGCAGCCATTTGTTGGATGGTGGCTCCAAAACCCTTTCGCACACATCTTCAACGGATGCAGTCGTTTCAAACGGCCAAGAAGTCTGGACGAGTGAAGTCTGGCCCCTCACAATGGGGTTTGCTTCGGGCCCGCGCCCGGGCGCGACGACGCGTGCCGCGACGCACGTGCCAAGGTCGGCCTTGACAACCCTGGCAACGGCACTCGAAGCCATAGGCCTCTGCGGGGGCGATGTGAAACGATCGGCGGCGTTCTTCGTTGGATCCGCAACGAAAGGACTCTGGGTCTATGAATTTGGAAAAGAACCAGCGCCAATATGCGCTAATTGTTACTAATTATGATAAATGCTGATGCATTGAACAGTTCGAACATGGAGATTCCAGTGTCGGCCCGTCACCCACTGGCCGAATCAAAACGGCGAGCACAACAACCCAAAAAACGAAGGTCCACGTGGTCCTCCCATCGCCGGGTGTTCGTTCCTCCTGGTGATCGTCTTTATAGCGCTGAATCATTGACCCATTTGCCAAGTAGTGAAAACGTTGTGCGTGAATTGGATGATTTGGTATGTGGGGCTTGATTTCGTTCCCAAAGCTTGGCTCAACAACAACAGTCTAAAAGTGGGTGATGCTGCCATCGCACCTGGCTTCGCCGGGTGGTGCACCCGGCCTCCTTCAACTGGGCCTGGCGCTGCCACCGGGGGAGCGCCAGGTCCACCTGGCGCTGCCGCCATGTGGCAATTGAATTTTTTTACATAGGAAGAAGTGGCTGGGACTGGTGAAATATCTATTTCTTGGTGGGGCCTAGGTTTCCAGGCTGATGGGTTCGTTTAACAATTCCAAGGAATTCTGCTCAGTCGTTCATGGGGACTCCCAGCCCCGAATCTCCCCAAAGCGGGGGTGACTAACATCTTGAAGCAAGCGGAAGCCAGTACCCCAAGTGAAGGGACTTTGAAGTCTGAGCTCAGCATGGAAGAAACACACCAGGCCATCAAGAAGCCAACTCTTGAGGGACACCGTGGCTGGGAGCATTTGCCGTATTTGCATCTGCCCAGCTTAAGCATGGCCAATGCTTCGCATGGTCTGCGTCCCGGTGACCCTGAACTCTGAGGTGGTTGGTTGCAGATTAGGAGCCTCTCTGCTCCATTTCAGTTGCCAGCCATTCCATCACTGCATAGATGTACACTGCTTCGATGCATGATGCACCCTGTCAAGTTTAGCTGAGCACCTCCGCCCTCAACCATTGGAGATGCTGGTCCGCCTACATGGTCAAAGCCTGTCAGATATGGGGGACACCGGCGAAGGATGTTTCCTGAAGATGAAGATGGTTATGAGTTCTTCAGACGCATGACCTGTAAAAACAAAAGACAACTGTTCACCATTAGTAGCCAGCCATTCAAAAATCGCCACAGCTGATGCATCCGTGATGTAAAGCAAACTGTTGCACCTGTGAGTGGCAAGTGCAAAGGAAAGGCTGCCCCAGGACACTTGAGCCATCGACTGGCTAATTCAAAGGGCCATGTTCTTTGGCCAGTCTGAGCTAGCATATGTTCGTCTTAAATGAGTTTCCAGGTTGCTTTGTTGCGTGACACTGAGCATCTACGCATTGCAGGCTCCGTGTTTCAGGCAAATCCTGCCTGTAATTCTTGGGGCTAAATTCCCCTGCATGTTGCGAGGTTGTTGCTTGGACTTGAGCACCGATAGAAGGCGGCTCACGCGACGAGTGGGTCTTTCTGTGCCATCCCCATAGGGCTGTTTAGGGGAATGCTAGCGGCACAGTCTCACACCTGAGTTGTGTTTTACAATCCAAATGGATGGGTGTCACAGCGTTTGGTTGTTATTGGGCACTTTGAAGTGCTCCTGATATCTGCGTATTTTTTCGCCGGGCGTACTAGTGACGTCAAGGCTAAAAGTGACCTACTACTAGCACAAATATACCAACACTACTCTTCAACTACCGTTTCTGATTGCAGCTGATTTCAGCAACCCAGTTCAAGATTTCCCAGCTTATGTAGCATATCAGAATGTAGGCTGCCAGGAGGCGTTCACTCTGGCAGAACGCGAGTTCAACAAGTACAAAGGCCTAGGTTTGCCCAACCTTAGATTGCGTTCAAAACAGGCCGTGGCACACGTAGGAGTGTGTGAGCTCTTCACCTCCGGCCGTGACCGCGAAACATTTGACAGTGCAGGGGGGAACCCTACGTCTGCCTTGGCGCATGGCAGAGGCCCTGGGCCGGCCCCCAATCGTAAAGCCACATAAAGCCACTGGCCTGCACAGGTTACATGAAGCATCCAGCATGAGCAAGATCAACTATTAGGGATTTCATGGTACTACATCATCATGATCGTCATGATTTTGGTGTGTCTCATGCTTACAATATACATCAATATACTATATATATATACTATATCTATATACACCAGCATTTGGTACACTTGCCTCATCTTAGGGCTTGTTCGTCGGCCACCCACTTTTGGGGAAACGCTGAAGACGGTGAAGACGGGAGAGTGGAGAGTGAGACGGCACCATCTTTGTCACCCAAATGGCATCATCGTGACTCAAGCTTGTCTCTTCTGAAAAGGCATTCCACCTCCTCCAGGTGGGTCAAACACCTAGCCCGATTCCCAAGAACCCGGTTCAAGCCACCCCGGCCACCCCCAACACAAATGATCAAAAAGTTGCCAACTGTGAAGAAACACAGGTTGGCCAACCCATTCTCTCCCCTCTTCTGAAGAAAAGATGGAGCAAACTGCATGGCATGGACTGGGAACGCCCCCAAAACACCCGAAACGGCGACCTTCCTCACCTGCAGCGACCGGCTCCAGCACCCGCACCACCTCCGATGACACGACGGGTGACAAGGCCAAACGGCCAAGGCCAAAGGCCTCGGGTGACACCCTCGTGGTTTTTTTCTGGTTCTTGCTTTGAAGTGTCTACAACCAGTACAATTGCCATGCAACCATTGTAACAAGTACAATCTTTCTGTGTCCTAAGAAGCTATCGTCAAACAAGTAAGGGCGCAATGAATTGATGGAAGCCTCCAACCAGTCATCTCTCGCAATAGGAACGGCTGTGGTTCGATGTGTTTGATGTGTGCTCCATCCCATATCAATCAACAAAAACATGAAACAACACAACTCACACTGGTGGTCTGTAGCACAATGACACTGTCATAGACCAGCATTCAAGTGACCTCTAACCGCTATACCGCCGCGACGCACCACTTCCACCTGCAAAGGCAGCTGTCCCTGAATCACCTCGTAGGCCAGGAGGCAATTGGGCCTCGACGTACCACGCGCCGTCTCTCGGTCGCGATGCGGCATGGGCGAGTGGTGGCAAAACACGTTCGGTGCCCACAGAGGTGTCCATTTCCCACGCAAAAAGATTTCAACAATTTCCGATGCCATTCTTGTAGGGAAGCCAATGTTTAGCCAAGTGAAGATCGCTGCAACAACAAAGGGACTTGCGTCATTCACCCGTGTCTCCAACTTCCCAGAACCGCCAACACACGCAGGGCACCTGCAACAGTGGTTCAGCGCCGCACCAATGGGGAAGCACCCTGGCAGCGATTGAATCTTGAAGCCCATGTATTACCACTAGCGCCCAAAGGGTGGTTGAGTTGATAGAGCTCAGCTTCCAATGAAATCGAAATTTATAAATGTTATGAGTCTAGGAGCAAAAAACTCCTCACGTGCAGGCCAGCTAAAGTCGCAACCATTGGCCAACCATATTTATATGCCAAAGTCTTAAAGGTGCACCACCAGTTTCTTCAGTGACCGAACTATCCGGGATCACAGTCAGGGTCACGAACTGAAGAATTAGGTGGAGTCCAAAGTTGCAAGGAACTGACCCAGGTTTCCACCTGTTGGCTTCTCCGGTTTCATCCTTTGGCCTCCATGCTGCAGTTGATTCCAAGACCTCCCAACTCTCCAACCAAAGTCCGACTTCTTCTGCGAACTTCCTGCTGATTCATGATCATGAAGAACACCCCCGAACTGTGATGATCTTCAATGATCTTCATACCCTGAGTTCGAACAGTCCTTCAGTAACAGTCCGACCCAGTAACACCAAGGCCCACAGTCCATCCTCCTTGGACGTTTCAGGCACTTCGCAAAAAATAACATGTTCTTCACCAAGTTCTCGCCCATGTTCGGCAAAGAAACCTCCCCCACCTTCTGAGCCGTTTGTGACCTTCTGAGCCGTTCGAGTCTCTGTTTGTCACCCCGTCTCAGACCTGTTCCTGTTTGTGAAGGAACAAATCCTGGGATCTCAAGTGGGCAGTCACCACCAACAGGTGCCTGGCCATGTCAACACCATGATGGACCCCCAAGACGCCCCCACTTCCCTCCCCGACTCCACCGACGAGGTCTGTGTGATCTTCCGACACCTGCAAAAACGATCTCCGCACCGACTTCTAGTTCTTCCATATCGCGTCACAAAATGCCTGGATCGACAGAGGTTAAGTGACCTGAACTAGGACCCTACAGGGGTACCTATAGGATAGTCTATGGGGTTCTTCAACCTCTGCTGGTTGAACTGCGATATCCTCCTTTTTCGTTTGGGGCGGCTCTGCGGGTTGACCCCAAAACTCTCTGCGGCGGCTCGGGCGGGCGGACGGCGGGCGGTGAGTGATTTCACTCACGCATCCCGCCTGCACCGAGTGCCAAGAAGAGATCATCAGTGATGGCCTCGGAGTGGAGGAATCATCGGAAAGACACGGTGTACACAAGGAAGAACCACTTATATTAACACTTTATAACACGTATGCCCAATGGGTTTTCTCCACCGAGGATCGGTGAAAGGGACCTGTCGTGAACCCGGTCGGTCACGACGGGGCCGGAAAACTGTTCGTGGGACCGACCGAACAGCGAAGGAGTTCATCACTGGGAGCTTTGGGTAAGCATGGTACCAGCAAGCTTCACACAGTGACTGAATACATGTTTGTCATTGTCCATGTTTTACAGGACCCCACCAAGCCAAACTAAGGTTTCCTCGACCATCGCGGGTGGGATCTTGATGAGCTTGATCCGTCTTGAAAATGGAAGGACATGGTCCACATAGATCTCCCCATTGGTCTGCTTGAATGAACAATATAGTTAAACATAATATAAAATACAAATAACCATAAAATGATAGAAATTGTGTGTCATTTGGGTCAAACATTAAGTAGTTAACCCGATATTGAGACGATGCCACCAAACACAATTCGACACTCATTCAATCATTCAGTTTGAGTCAGTCGTCAGTAAGACTCATCATCCTCGACCCTTGCTTGGTGAAACGCCCCCCAGCCATGGTTTCTATAAGGATAAGGCCTTGTTGTTTCAAAGATGGTTGCAAATAGTCAAAACACAATTAGATGTGCTATCAACCGTAATGCAAACTGAGTCAATGATGTTTGGTGTTTTTCTTTACATGTTGCATGCTGCAAAGTGCACTCACCATGCTGCAAAGCACCTGCTGCCAAAACATGATGTTGCCACATGTGTCACTTTTCTTAACACTGGTGTTTTAGGGACACATGGGAGAAGAAACAAAGTCACGGAATGAAGAAAACTGGAATGAAGGTCTTGATGGAACCGAATGACTTGCACCATCAAAACCCGTCCCTCCAAGCGACAAAGTTGTTGTTTCCTCAGGTGAGCGGCGCCAACCGCGCGACTCGCTCGTAGCACTTGGCCCAAAGAACCGTTTGGGAACTCATTCCTAGGAAGAAACAACGCATCCAGCACCAGTTGGGGGTCATCAAACACTTTTGGTGGTATTACGGTGCTGGCTGGCTCCTGGTTTCTTCAACTGACAATCCTGGAGGCAAATGGGTCTTAGACTTGAGATCTGGATCTGTTTTTTGGGTAACTTTGTCTTTGACCTCACACAGCACTTCTCAACATGCATGTTTCAACGTACCTCATTTGGCTCTGCTGCGCAACGTACACCTTTATAGATTACTGGATGATAAGCCGGATTGGGTATCCGATAGCAAAGCTTTAAAGGTGGATAAACCTGTCAATCAAAGGAATTTACATGTTTTTACATGCTTCACTCCTACTTCCGATTCCCTCAGCTCTCTACCCAATGTGTATGTATGTATGTATGTATGTGTATGTATGTGTATGTATGTGTATGTATGTGTATGTATGTGTATGTATATGTATGTATATGTATGTATATGTATGTATATGTATGT